CTGTAGGAAGAGGGAGAGAAAAGGGGAGATTAGAAGGGAGAATGGAGAGGGAGAGAATAGGGGAGATTAAAAGGGTGAATGAAGAGGGAGTAAATTGGAAGAGGGAGAAAAGGGGAAGATTAGAAGGGAGAATGAAGAGGGAGTAAACTGGAAGAGGGAGAAAAAGGGGAAGATTAGAAGGGAGAATGGAGAAGGAGTAAATTGGAAGAGGGAGAGAAAAGGGGAGATTAAAAGGGAGAATGAAGAAGGAGTAAATTGGAAGAGGGAGAGAAAAGGGAGAATGGAGAAGGAGTAAATTGGAAGAGGGAGAGAAAAGGGAAGATTAGAAGGGAGAATGGAGAGGGAGTAAATTGGAAAAGAGAGAAAATAGGAGGTTAAAAGGGAGAATGAAGAGATACAGGTATGGGTAAATTGGAAGAGGGAGAGAAAAAGGAAAGATTAGAAGGGGGATTGGAGAGGGAGTAAATTGGAAGAGGGAGAAAAAAGGGGAGATTAGAAGGGGGAATGGAGAGGGAGTAAACTGGATGAGGGAGAGAAAAGGTAAGATTAAAAGGGAGAATGAAGAGGGAGAGAAAAGGGAAGATTAGAAGGGGGAATGGAGAGGGAGTAAACTGGATGAGGGAGAGAAAAGGGAAGACTAGAAGGGAGAAGGAAGAGGACGATGACGATGACAAGGAAGAGGACGATGACGATGACAAGGAAGAGGACGATGACGATGACAAGGAAGAGGACGATGACGATGACAAGGAAGAGGACGATGACGATGACAAGGAAGAGGACGATGACGATGACAAGGACGATGACGATGACGATGACGATGACGATGACGATGACGATGACGATGACGATGACGATGACGATGACGATGACGATGACGATGACGATGACGATGACGATGACGATGACGATGACGATGACGATGACGATGACGATGACGATGACGATGACGATGACGATGACGATGACGATGACGATGACGATGACGATGACGATGACGATGACGATGACGATGACGATGACGATGACGATGACGATGACGATGACGATGACGATGACGATGACGATGACGATGACGATGACGATGACGATGACGATGACGATGACGATGACGATGACGATGACGATGACGATGACGATGACGATGACGATGACGATGACGATGACGATGACGATGACGATGACGATGACGATGACGATGACGATGACGATGACGATGACGATGACGATGACGATGACGATGACGATGACGATGACGATGACGATGACGATGACGATGACGATGACGATGACGATGACGATGACGATGACGATGACGATGACGATGACGATGACGATGACGATGACGATGACGATGACGATGACGATGACGATGACGATGACGATGACGATGACGATGACGATGACGATGACGATGACGATGACGATGACGATGACGATGACGATGACGATGACGATGACGATGACGATGACGATGACGATGACGATGACGATGACGATGACGATGACGATGACGATGACGATGACGATGACGATGACGATGACGATGACGATGACGATGACGATGACGATGACGATGACGATGACGATGACGATGACGATGACGATGACGATGACGATGACGATGACGATGACGATGACGATGACGATGACGATGACGATGACGATGACGATGACGATGACGATGACGATGACGATGACGATGACGATGACGATGACGATGACGATGACGATGACGATGACGATGACGATGACGATGACGATGACGATGACGATGACGATGACGATGACGATGACGATGACGATGACGATGACGATGACGATGACGATGACGATGACGATGACGATGACGATGACGATGACGATGACGATGACGATGACGATGACGATGACGATGACGATGACGATGACGATGACGATGACGATGACGATGACGATGACGATGACGATGACGATGACGATGACGATGACGATGACGATGACGATGACGATGACGATGACGATGACGATGACGATGACGATGACGATGACGATGACGATGACGATGACGATGACGATGACGATGACGATGACGATGACGATGACGATGACGATGACGATGACGATGACGATGACGATGACGATGACGATGACGATGACGATGACGATGACGATGACGATGACGATGACGATGACGATGACGATGACGATGACGATGACGATGACGATGACGATGACGATGACGATGACGATGACGATGACGATGACGATGACGATGACGATGACGATGACGATGACGATGACGATGACGATGACGATGACGATGACGATGACGATGACGATGACGATGACGATGACGATGACGATGACGATGACGATGACGATGACGATGACGATGACGATGACGATGACGATGACGATGACGATGACGATGACGATGACGATGACGATGACGATGACGATGACGATGACGATGACGATGACGATGACGATGACGATGACGATGACGATGACGATGACGATGACGATGACGATGACGATGACGATGACGATGACGATGACGATGACGATGACGATGACGATGACGATGACGATGACGATGACGATGACGATGACGATGACGATGACGATGACGATGACGATGACGATGACGATGACGATGACGATGACGATGACGATGACGATGACGATGACGATGACGATGACGATGACGATGACGATGACGATGACGATGACGATGACGATGACGATGACGATGACGATGACGATGACGATGACGATGACGATGACGATGACGATGACGATGACGATGACGATGACGATGACGATGACGATGACGATGACGATGACGATGACGATGACGATGACGATGACGATGACGATGACGATGACGATGACGATGACGATGACGATGACGATGACGATGACGATGACGATGACGATGACGATGACGATGACGATGACGATGACGATGACGATGACGATGACGATGACGATGACGATGACGATGACGATGACGATGACGATGACGATGACGATGACGATGACGATGACGATGACGATGACGATGACGATGACGATGACGATGACGATGACGATGACGATGACGATGACGATGACGATGACGATGACGATGACGATGACGATGACGATGACGATGACGATGACGATGACGATGACGATGACGATGACGATGACGATGACGATGACGATGACGATGACGATGACGATGACGATGACGATGACGATGACGATGACGATGACGATGACGATGACGATGACGATGACGATGACGATGACGATGACGATGACGATGACGATGACGATGACGATGACGATGACGATGACGATGACGATGACGATGACGATGACGATGACGATGACGATGACGATGACGATGACGATGACGATGACGATGACGATGACGATGACGATGACGATGACGATGACGATGACGATGACGATGACGATGACGATGACGATGACGATGACGATGACGATGACGATGACGATGACGATGACGATGACGATGACGATGACGATGACGATGACGATGACGATGACGATGACGATGACGATGACGATGACGATGACGATGACGATGACGATGACGATGACGATGACGATGACGATGACGATGACGATGACGATGACGATGACGATGACGATGACGATGACGATGACGATGACGATGACGATGACGATGACGATGACGATGACGATGACGATGACGATGACGATGACGATGACGATGACGATGACGATGACGATGACGATGACGATGACGATGACGATGACGATGACGATGACGATGACGATGACGATGACGATGACGATGACGATGACGATGACGATGACGATGACGATGACGATGACGATGACGATGACGATGACGATGACGATGACGATGACGATGACGATGACGATGACGATGACGATGACGATGACGATGACGATGACGATGACGATGACGATGACGATGACGATGACGATGACGATGACGATGACGATGACGATGACGATGACGATGACGATGACGATGACGATGACGATGACGATGACGATGACGATGACGATGACGATGACGATGACGATGACGATGACGATGACGATGACGATGACGATGACGATGACGATGACGATGACGATGACGATGACGATGACGATGACGATGACGATGACGATGACGATGACGATGACGATGACGATGACGATGACGATGACGATGTAAAATACACCGTGTGAAGATCAGGGAAAGAAAGAGAAAAAGAAAGTTGTTATATATTTCCGATTAACGTATCAAAATCGGATATTAAAAATGCGCCTTTCCATCTTAAAGAATAAAGTCCCAGAGGAGAGAATGTTCACTTACCACATAACAGAAAAGTTTTCAAGACTTCTCCCGTTAAAGGACAAACGCCAAATCTCTAAAGAATTGTCCAAGTTGGTTCAAACTTTTTCGCCAAAGTTAATGAAAGTTTGGCTCAGGCAAATGGATATCATAGGTAGCGTGTCCGCTCAAACTCCCGCCGATGCCGAAGTCCGTTAGCATTTGAATTCAAATCTATTGACGGACGCCGAGCGGGACAACGGTTCTCCAAACTGTCATTCCCCGCGGGGAAACATCTTTTCCCTTTTTCCGTAGTCGCCAAATTTTCTTCTTCTCATTTTGAAAATTGTGAGATTTTCCTTTACGGTAAGAAGCCTTAGAGGTTAGATTAACGTGACGGCCTCTCTGGAAATTAGTTCCTCGATCTGAATAAGGGAGACCGTCATTAGCCACGTGTGATTGGCAGGCATATTCAAAGAGCACCCTTAAATGTGCCTCCATTGATGCCATTTGACATAACCCAAAACCTCACTCTCGGAAAATGTAAGATAAGGGTATTCTGTGCCAACCATGATTATTTTAATATCCCTAAACAGGAGTCTACCCACGCACACGACAGCTAGTTCTAACACCATTCAGAGTGATCATATATAATCATAGAAACTGGATATCTTTGATCTATTATATAAAAAAA